AGGGATCTTCGACAGCCACCAGGCGAAATGGGGTGGTAATGGGAAATTTAGAGGCAAACCAGCACGTCACAGCACACATCCAGCCCAGCGCCACCGCCTTCCCCGCAGAGGGATCCCCCCGGCGCAGGGTCCTGCTGCTTATTTTTTAAAGGTCCCAAAATCAAAGAGATTTTTGGAGGAAAGGGACAACTCTCAGCCCTGCAAAACCTGTCCGGGGCTGGGTCCATCCCCTGCCCTTCCCATCCTCCCGCTTCCAGCCCCTCGTTTGGGCTCTCACACACGTTTTCTGGTCCTCCCTTCCCTCTGAACCCCTCCTCCTGCCTCTCGCTTATTTACGTGGCCCATGAGTCACTGGCTACTTTATCATTCTCCTCCGAGGCATCAGCTGCTGCAAATCACAGCAGAGGCTGAAAACCAGCACAGCTGGGAGAGGAGCCGACGTCGTCTTTCACGCCTCGGAATTGCAGCTCCTAAAATTTTTGAGACTGGCACAGCAAAGAGTCTTCCTTCAGCTCCAGCGCATCACACGCGCATACAAGCATGCAGAAAAGAAACGGAGAAGCAGGCGGAGAAGCACTCCTCTATGCCCACATGGCCACCCACATCCTCGGGGCGCACGGCTGGAATGATGAGCACATCTGGGCACTGCCCCAGCTGGGAGACTGCAGCCGTTCACGGCTGATACCTCTACAAGGGATATGCACCGGCTGGGGAAGGGGCTGAATGTGTGCGCAGCGGGATGATGCCAAATCTGCCAGGCTTTGGGAGGGGTGATGCGGGGGACGCTCAAGCTACCGTTGGAGTTAACGTTCCTAAAAACCTGCTCTGCGGCCAAATCAACAGCTGAGAAAGGATGCTTTCGTTCCTCCCCCCGCGCTTTCTCACCTCTTCCCGCTCCGTCTTCCCACCAGGAATCCCTCAAAAGCCCCAGAGCGCGGCGAGGCACACACGCCCGTGTGGAAGCTGCCCACCATCTGCCTCCGGCCACGCTCGGCACGGCCGCGGGCACGGGGCCAGGAGCCGCAACACCCCACGTTCACATGGGCCTTGCACAGCTTCGGGGCTGGCCACGCTACAGCCCCACCGCCACCACAACCCCCTTAAATACCCTGGCAGCATCATTCGTCTGGGTTTCACCGGGGTTTTACCCATCCCCATTGTGCTGGTAACAGAGAGCCGATGGAATCTGCAATTTTTTTGGAGCTGGGCTTTCCCCAAAAAAATGCAGACCACATTCAGCTCCATCCCACCACCTCCCAGCCTACAAGGGTGGCACTGGGTCAGCCATCCTCCAGCAAGACCAGGCTTTTTTCTTCCAAGCATCAACTCCAACAACTGCCTCGGTGCTCTTGGGCAGCTGAGGTGACAAGAAAGGCTCCACCACGATTTACCACCAGAAAAAGGTGGGCTCCAAGCCCAAAAGACAGTCTCCTTGAGCTCCCATCCCCTCTCCGGGTGGAGAGCAATGCATGGAAGCAGCAGACGTACAATGAATTAAGACTTAGGTCAGTTCTGATTACCAGTTTAATTGCTTTTGCCTTTTTTTCCATGCGGTCATCTCGTACTTTTAATTACTGCAAGAGCAAGTGCTGCCCAGCCTCCTCTTGCCCTCCCACTTCCAGCCTTCCTCACTTCTGAAACTGTAACGGGTTTAAGTGCCAGGATTACAACTTAACACCAGCTGAGCAAGCCGAGGTTAAGCTTGAGTGAATAAAAAAATTGTATTATAGAATTTCAGACTATTAAATGGAAAAAAAATGGAATGAAGAAGATTAGGGAAGAAGCTAAGAAAAGCAGCATTTAAAAGATTAAGCTGGGAGGTGTTTTTTTTAATGCAAGCTCAAAAGATTAAGTCCACGTTTTTCCAAAAGATGGTGATTTTGGGTGGCCTTGATACTTGCCATGCCCCACTCATTGAATAGTGAAGAGGTTTGATTTCTGCCACTCCCCGACAGCTAGGGCCCTTTGTGTAGCCCCAACAGGACCAAAAACCCCAAAACCCATCAAACCCACAAGCTGAAACTCTGAAACTGTCCCCTTTGAGCAGGTCAGAGAAAGTGGCTCTCGGAGCCAGGTTGGCACCAGTCTTCTTCACACGTGTCATCCCCCCTTCACAGCATCCTCATCCTCCGCAGCCAGGCTGGACCCAAGAAATGGGTACACACACGCACACACACACACGTGCGCACACACACTCTCTACACCGTCTGCATTTCAGTATCGCCATCCAAGACATCCAATAGGACTCTCTTCTCCAAACTAAAAGAACAAAAATGATGACGATTTTGAGGCCGACATCTCTAAAACGGGGATTTTGGAGCTGGCCTGTGCAGAGGGGCTCTGCTCCCTACCCTCAAGTAGAACCAGGTGGGGGTTTTGGGTCACAGTCCCTGCACTGCGCACCCCAAGGGAGCGCAGCCCAAACCTCACATCTTCACGACCACAAGGTCCCATCCAGCCATCACATGCAGTGCAATGAAAATGTACAGGGGTTTCATTTCATATAGATATATAACTGTGTATGTATGGGGGGTGTGTGTGTGTGTATATATATATATATGTATAAAATATGTGTTTGGCCTCTCAAATTCCTAACATAAAGAAGCGCTGCTGTCTTGTAGCCTCCACCAGGGTCACAAATCCCTGAATCCACTAACACACTGAGGGGACAAAGCGTCACTGTGTCTGTGCAGGTTAATTCACGATGCAACACAGTCAAAGCAACCAATTTTTTTTTTTTTCTTGTTTAAATTGCTCTAAGAGATAAGCCAAGGTCTCTATGAGACACCATCGAGATCGCAACCATCACGAAAACAAAGCGCCTTGACTGCACTGCAAACAGCGCTTCAGCTAATTAAAAGCCAGCTCATTAAAATATCTAATTGGACTTTTCTGTGCAGAGAGCTTGCTCCAAAAAAAATTTAGCCTTTCTAGAAGGCACAGTTGGGCTCTGGATCAGGCCCTGCTGCTCTGCACCTTAGGTAGCCTCAGGGGAAACCACTGCACTTGGGTGATGATGGCTTCCAGGATCTTTTGCTCTCAGGCTCACGGGTGCCCTGTGGGTCGTACTGGAATTTGAGCAACAACAAAAGAAACACGAACCATCAATCCCGGGTCTTGCAAAAGAGATGTAGCAGCCAAGCTGCCCTGGGGCTGGTCGGTGGGAAGCCACCGCTCTGCCTCACCTTCCTCACCTTCTGGGTGCGAGTGGCCCGGCGGGGACCTCTGCCCGAGCCCCGAGGGGACAGAGTATCACCTCTGCTTTGCATTTCTGTTCTCACGCCACGTCTCACGTCTTGTAGAGCTTTGTCATCCCACCTGGAGGAGCTGGGGAGAGGACTTAGCTTCTCCATTTCCAACTCCTCTCCCTGCCAACTCCCCACCACGCAACGTCCCGGTCTGTTTTAAAACCAGTGCTGTCGGTCGTACTGCGCAAGCTGAGTTTTATTGGTCACAGTGAAAACCCAGCAAAAGCGAGGTCCCTTCTCAACCAAACCCCTCGGCGGCCGGCGACGCGCCGTTTCTATAGAATTAAGGTCTCTGGCTGTGCACAGCGATGCAGTGAAGCGAGGTGGCGGCAGGAGGGGAGCAGCGTCAGATACCCCAGTGCAGCTTCTTGTTGCTCCACAAACTCTCTGAAGGGTTGATCTAAAGAGATCATTTCCAGCGTACTGGCCATGTTTGTATTTATTTTTTTTTCCCCACTCCAAGAGCAAACCCCGGGGCATCAGATATTCCAGCCCCTTGTGCTTTTTTCCAAGGTTCGATGCATATTTGAGAGTCGTGTCCTCTCTTCAAACAGAAGCAGGGAGCAAGGTAATTCCTGCAAAGCAACCAACCCCATTCAAAAAAGAAAAAAAAAAAACACAAGAGGGAAAGAAACCTCCCTCCTTTCCAAAGGGAAAAAAAAAAGGAAGATAAATCCTTTAAAAACCAACCCCGCTACGCCCCAGGGCTGGTAGAAGGTGTCCAGATCCCAGAGTCCGTTGTGTTGGTGGGAAAAGCCCAGTGACCTCCAGCCGCCGTCGGCAGCCTGACCGCCTCGTCCCGCTCTCGCCAGGGCGCCCCCCGTTGGCGCTGGCTCCTTGCCCCGTCCCTCCCGCCGCAGAAAGGCCAGCGGTACTCGGTCTGAACTCGGCGGTGCTCTGGGCGCTGGTTTCTTCATCATGCCGTAGATGTGTTTTCTCCTTTAGCTGTTGTGGGCTTTGCTTTTTAAATTCACAGTCTGATCCGAGAGAGAGAGAGAGAGAGAGAGAGAGAGAGAGAGACTGGATGAAGGAGAGGAGGGGGGAGAGTTTGGAGCAGGGAGGGAGGGAGCACGAGGCACGCCTGGCTCTCCTTCTACGCGTAAAACTCCTCCTGCTTGTCAGGCTTCTGGTACGTGACGTTGGCTTGCTTGGGCTCCTCCAGCGTGTAACTCCCCTCGTCCTTCTTCTTCATCCGGTAGATGAGCAGCATGACCAGGAAGGCAGCGAAGAGGGCTCCCACCACACCGCCCACAATCACCGCTGCAACACAGAGAAGCGGCACAGCCATGAGTGCAAATAATTTGGGGGATTCTCTTTGGATTCCAGCTTGGTTTTGTGTTTTGCAAGCTTGTGAGCCATTTTTCTCCTGAAATCTATGGTTAAGGAAACTTAAGGTTTCCTTAGGTGAGGTGAGGGGTTAAGGCGATCTCGTGATGCAAGAAGCTTCAACAAGCTCCCAAGTGCAGCGATGCTGAAGGGTGGGCAAGACCCAAAGGCAACTACTCTACAGCTGCACGGTGGGTGATGGACTGGCACAAGGCAGCCCAGGCACAGAGAGGTCGCTGCACAGGCTGTAAGGAGGGTGCAGAAAGTCCCCCAAAGAGCTGCTCATTTGGCTGCCTACCAGCGTGCACCACGCTCAGCTGAAGACCGCCAGACCAAGAGCCAAGAGCTACTTTGCCGTGCCATTGTCTCCAGCTCCCTTTAGCTGGCGGTGGGACACTGAACCTCTGCCCCACCTCCGATGTCCCTCTGGCTGGGACAAGGGTCCCTCCCAGGGCACCTCTCTCTGCCCCTGCGGAGGTGGCATTCAGCCAGCACTGTAGCACATCTTTCCACTAACATCCTATGTTTTTCCTGGAAACCCACCTTAACAAAAGCAAATTTTGCACAGCTCTGTGCTCTCCTTGCAAAGACATGAAGACCCCTGGGAACCCCCCAGCACAGGCCCTGGCAATGTCTATTTTGGCAGGTGAGCATGGGTTATCTCAGGCTCAACATTGCTCAACCCTGCTAAAGACCGACCCCTCTCTCGGGGCACAGCCAGCCCAGCTACCCATCTCCCCCCAAACACACCAGATCTTCCCCCGCAAGCTCATGGCTTCCAGTCTCACCTATCAACACTTCTTTCCTCTCCAGGATGTTTTTCTGAGGGAGCTGAGCAGCCGAGTTGCCGGAGTCTATCGTGTTGTCGATCAGCCCCGGCTCCATGTTCTTGCCCAGCCCGGGTCCTGACGGTGGTGTCACCACGGCCATCACCTCATTACCAAGCTCAGGACGAGTCGTCTCTTCCTCCTCCCGGATCTCAAAGTCTCCGCTGGGGCCGCTGCTGGCCGGGATCTCTAGCTCATTGTCAAGGACTGTCGTCAGCTCCCCTGGCTCCATCTGGGAGAAAGGACAAGATGGAGCAGGGGACAAGGACCAAAGGGTGGTTCCTGCCTCCAACAGCTCCGACGTGTCCAGAGGAAGGACATCACAGTACTGATGACAGGGTGGCCTTCTCAACAGAGAACATGGGGGATAACATCGGGGTGTCCCTTCCCTCTGTCACTGAAGTGGACAGTTATATTGCAGCAAGCAACACAATCCCACATCTTGACGGTCACCAAAAGGCTGAGGCCACTGTGGCTGAGCTGGATCATTCTTGTCTGTCCCCATCCCAGATGCCCTCGAGATGCACAAACTCTCACCTGTTCTCTGTAGCTTCCCCTAAGGAGAACCCCACATCCCAGGCCCTCAGCTGGGCTCTCTGTGCCCAGTGTAGACTGATGGCTGGCTGAAACCTCTCACAGATGTCTCCTTGCTAGGCATGAAGTGATGCAACCACGTGCACTACAGCAACATAGCAAGTGTAAGGATCAGGTGCCATCAGATGAGCCCCGGGGGGTCCCTTCCCTCTCCCTTTTCTCCCTTCAACCTGCTCTTATGGTTGCAGCACAGGGCAGGAGCAGGAAGATGGGTCCTTCTCATCCGGCTCCCTGCCACGGTCCCTGACCAAGCCCCCTTGGCAAGGAGGTGAACCCAGCCCGGACAGCAAACGCAGGCTGGGCAGATGAGCCGCTCCATCCACCTCCTCCACCCCCCTCCAGCCCAGCCTGCACCTATTCATGGCCTCCTGCACGTCCCCACACCTGCAGCTCCCTCAGTGCCAAATCCCACCTCGTCCCGGCAGCCCGACCTGCGACATGCCCACGTGCTGAGCTGGACCGCACTGAGCATCCCCCAGCAAAACCTCCCCGGGATCCCTCCTTCGCAGGGCAAACGGCTTCCTCCACGGCTGCCTCGGGATGCTACAAATTGGGATGAGGGAAGAGCCTGACGGGCTGAAGCCGGAGCGAGCGAGTAGGAGCCCCCTCCACTCACGCGGCCCCCGGCGTGCGCGCACGGCTCACGGCTTCCCACAAGCAGGCGTTTGTGACAGAGATTAATTGAAGGTCAGCGAGAGCCCAGGGCGCTATACATACATATACATACGCAGAAAAGAGGGACTAGTTTAGACAAATCACTCCACCCTTCCGTCAAAGCGGTTTTCAAAGGGCCCCTGAGGGGCTCTGATGGAGACATGGATCAGGGGATTAAATTCCCCGCTCAGGACACTCGACGGGCTGGAAATGCACCATCAAGCCGTAATTGCGGATCATTTGGGCCTCCCACTGACGGGCTGCAAGTTGGGCAATGGTACGATGAGCCCAGACACCAAACCCTTGTTTGGGAGAGCTGCTCCCCAAGGGGTGGTGGTACTCCCCTCCTGCCTGGGGAAGCTGGGCAAGGCAGCGCCAGGGGCACTGGGGACATGTGGCATACCCCCGGGTACCCCCCATCAGCTCTTGTGCCAGCCCCATCACCATGCTCTGCCCGTGCTAAACCCCCCGCCCTTTAATGTCCCCTCTCCAGCTCCCCAAATGTGCCACTCTCCGCAGAGCCGGGAAGAGCCCAACCTGGCTTGACCTCCCTCTGGGCAATGGGCTGAGGAGGCATCAACCCCGAAGGCTTCAACCATGGCCCACGAGCCCTTCAGCAGGTGAGAAGGGCTCCTGCCTCCTACCTGGGGGGCTTCTGTGGGCGGCAGCGTGGCAGGACTGGATGGCAAGGCAGTGCTTTTTTCTGTGAGGTCTGCAGTCCTGGAGGTGCTTGGTTTTGGCAGGGACCTGGGCTTAGCTGTGCTGATGGGGACAAGTCGTGACGTGGCCACCTCTGTTGGGGTGCTGGTTTCGAGGACGGAGGTGGTGGGTGTCTCCAGGGTGGTGGCCCGGGTGGTGGCTGCCTTGGTGACAAAGCGGGGCAGGAAACTCCGGGCGGTGGTGGGCTTGGCAGTGGCCATGGTGGTGCTGGTGGTGGTCGTTGCCGCGGTGGTGGTGGCCGTGGTGGTCGTGGTGGTGGTCATGGTGGTAGGGGCATCACTGGCAGTGGTACTGGTGGTGGTTGCTTTCCAACTGGGGATCACTGGTGTTTCTGTCATCCTGGAGATATACAAGATGCTGGTTGTCTGCTCGGGGGTGGTGTCCTCAGCGGGGAATGGTTCAAAGGGGGTTGCCACAGGCTGCACCAAGGTGATGGGCAGCACAGCCGCCGTGGTGGGGAGCGTGACGGACGTGTCCGTGGTAAGGCTCACTGCTGTCTCGAGCCCCGACTCCTGCTCAAAATCTGAAACAGGGGGAGAAAAGCAAAGGGTGAAGCTGCTGCTGCTCTGGCATTTCCCAGGGATGACGCCCACCCGGCCTCACCGCCTGAAAAAACAAGAGCATGGACGGGCTATGGGCTCAGCAGAAACCAAGAGCTGCAAATTCCCATGTGGTGGCCAAAGCCCCCCTCTGGGGTCAATGCAACCTCTCCAACATTGGCACAGGCTACCGTGCTGGGGGAAGGCTAATCCTGCCCTGTAGGACCAGAGACCAAAAAGGGAAATGGAGTCACTTGACCCCAAGTTTTCGGACCATTCTCTTGGGTTTTGTCTAGGAGAGGGCAGGAGGGTGGCTCTGGAGATGGCCAAGGGGCGACCCCCTCCCTCGCATTCCACGGCAAGCCTCTCTCCTGTCCCACCAAAACCCATGGCCAGGCTCCCCAGGGACCCTTCCCCCGGCACCCCGCAGCTACTTACACCCTGAGCCGGAGCCCGAGTAGACATCGTCCAGTTCATCGTCCCCAAAGGGGTCATCGTCCCCAGAGCCCTCCAAGTCCACCGGCCTCTCGTAGTTCTCATTGCGCCAGCGCTGAGCCTGCAGCCGAGCGGGGAGAGACGCGTCAGCGGCTCCGGCCGGACCGAACCGCGACCGGTCCCTGCACAGACACCCCCGGACAGCCCTCTGGGGCAGCACGCAGGCTAAACTCAGCCCCAGCTGAGCAACCCAGAACCGTGGTGGGGTTTCC